TTGAACAATGATATCTGTGGGGATCTGAGATCATTCTGTTTTGCTAATAATGCGCCTGAGGCCATTCAGTTATAAGCCACCGAGTGTGGACAACTTTGAAAAAGCAAGAAGTGAGGACATGTCAATGGCTCACCGACCGTGTTCTGGTTTGAATTAAATATATTTGTGGCCTATGGCCAAGGGAACTGGCGTACATGTCAATGTATCACTTACTCGTTAATGTTCAGACATTTGCTGGTATCTGGACCCGAGGCCGATCTGTAAAATCTGTTGGGCCTAAGGCCGTTCTGTATGAAACTGGGCTTGAAGCTGCTCTGTATGAAGATTGGGCCCAAGGCCGTTCTGAACATGTTTACAGAATAAGCTTAATCACATGACCTCTGCACTTACATACATTACAATTCGATTTTATTCATTGAATCATTTAAGTACTATTATTCACTAAGCCTTGCTCACTCCGTGTTATGTCTGTCTCTGTAGGTAATCAACTTGGAGGTCAGTCTTAGTCCAGCTTGGACCGCTTGTCTTTTGTCCATTACACCATGACCGAACACCTAGATGAAGCTCACTCATCTTTGTGGAGTTCTTGCAGAGCTTTTAGCTTCGTACACTGAATCTTTTGTCTGGTGTTGTTAAACATGATTAACTTCCCTTATCGTAGTTTTGTTACATCCTCAGACTCGGGGATGGGTCTGTATATTTGTCTATATATTCCTACGTGTATGTTTTGTATGTTTTGTATGCGTTAAATTACTTGATATAAAGTGTAAGATCCTGGCATGTTAGTAATAGCTCAATGGATGTTGTTTTGCGTTGTTAACTGTTTCCGTTCAGGCCCCATATGTTGTACATATCAAATTTGATGTCCGTTTTTGAAGTGATCATGCCCAAACTTTTAGGGGCGGGTTTGGGGCGTAACAAGTGGTATCAGAGCACGACTTGCTATCTCACACACGAATCCATTGAGCCTTAGGATGCCTAGAAAAAACTTAGGCATCGTGCATAATATTCTGAAAGCATATGAAAAGATTGATGGCAACGTTAATTGTATATGTAATATCTGCTAACTCCAATGATTATGATCCATGTCCATTGTATATCTCTTGTGTATATTGTAATTGATTGTTATGTAGAATATGGTGAGAACAAGAATGGAAGACCCAGAAGATTCTGCTTCTGCACGGTTGGACAGAATGGAAAGAATGATCATGGAAATGGCAGAGACTATACGGCAACAACAGCAACAACAACAGCAACAGCCACAACCACAACCGCCACTGCCACCAGTACCTCCGCCTGTGGTACAAGATTTCCATGCTGAGGATAGAACCATTACACTCACGAAGGAATTTAAAAAGATAAAGCCGCCATCATTCAAAGGAGGAATAGAACCAATGAAAGCTGAAGCGTGAGTGTTGGGGATAGAGAAGCTATTCGAAGTTTTTCCTTATACTGAAGCCCAAAAAGTGCAACTTGCTGCCTTCACTCTCGAAGACGAAGCATGGAGGTGGTGGATGCTTACAAGAACTGTACACCAAGGATTAACCTGGGACATATTTTTGGAACTGTTTTATGACAAGTACTTTCCCTAAAGTATGCGACATAAGAAGGTGACAGAATTTGAAACTCTCAGACAAGGAAACAAGACCGTTGCGAAGTATGAAGCCCAATTCGCAGAACTAGCCCGGTTTACACCTCATATGGTGGATATGGATTATAAGAAAGCACGAAAATTTGAGGGGGATTGCGGAATGCTGTCCTTGACCAAGTCAATATGTTGAAGTTACCCACCTATGTTGATGTGTTGGAGAGGGCTGTTATAGCAAAGGGAAACATTGCTGCTCAGAATCGGATTTCTGAGTGGAAAGGAAAGCGGCAGAATACTCAATTATCAAAGCGCTCAGCCGCTCCACCAAACAAGAAACAGAATTCAGGAACCTCTAGTACTTACACCCCTATTCGAGATTCAACTCATGTTTGTTCAGAATGTGGGAAGAAGCACTGGGGGACTTGCTACCGGTTGACTGGAGCATGTTTTAGGTGTGGCAAAACGGGTCATCTGGTAAAGGATTGTCCGCAAAAGAATCAACAAAATGGAAATAGGGCTACTACAAGTTCAGCTGGGTCTACACCAGCTCCCAACACCAAGTCAGCTGCCAAGCCTATTAATAATAAAGACACCGCAAGACAAGGTGTTCGCATTGGTTCCAGGTGATGTGCAAAATGCTGCAACAGTGGTGTCAGGTACATTTAATGTTTACAGTCATTCTGTTCATGTATTGTTTGATTCTAGCTCTACCCATTCCTTTGTGTCAAAACTATTTGCTCACAATTTAGATAGATCTGAGGAAGTATTATCTTATGTGCTATGTGTGTCCTCACCTTTAGAGGATTTTATGGTCTGTACCTCTGTATATTTTTCTTATGAACTCCTAATTGGGGATATCCGGGTATATGCCAACTTATTGCCTCTTGACATGACTCACTTCAATATTATTCTGGGTATGGACTGGTTGAGTGAATACCATGTGACTATTGACTGTCTAACTAAGCAAATCAGTTTCCACCCTTCGGGACAATTTGAATTTACCTTCCAGGGGCATGGAGTGACTTCTCCACCTTATTTCATTTCTGCAATGAAGGCCTGTAAATTAATTCAGAAAGGGTGTCAGGGGTATTTGTGCAGTGTCTTAGAGGGGCCACCAATGAATGGGAGTACTAGTATGATTCCGGTCGTCTGCGACTTTCTAGATGTTTTTCCAGAGAAATTACTGGGGGAGTTAGTAGACCGTGAAATCGAGTTTACAATTAAAGTAGTACCGGGAACTCAACCCATTTCTAAAACTCCGTATAGGATGTCACCAGTTGAAATGAAGGAATTAAAGATTCAGTTACGAGATTTACTTGACACAGGGTTCATTTGCCCGATCGTTTCCCCTTGGGGTGCACCAGTTCTGTTTGTGAAAAAGAAAGATGGAACACTCCGATTATGTGTGGATTATAGGGAGCTCAATAAGGTGACAATAAAAAATAAGTATCTTTTACCCAGGATTGATGATTTGTTTGATCAGCTACAAGGGGCACAAGTCTTTTCGAAAATTGATTTACGGTCTAGATATCATCAATTGAAGGTCAAAGCTGAAGACGTTGAGAAGACAACCTTTCAAACCCGGTACAGACATTATGAATTTTTGGTTATGCCCTTTGGAGTTACCAATGCACCGGCAGCATTTATGGACTTAATGAACCGTGTCTTTAAGCCATACCTGGATGAATTTGTGGTGGTATTCATCGACGACATTCTTATCTATTCAAGGAATGCGGAAGCTCGTGAGAATCATCTTCGCATAATCCTTCAAACATTACGAGACAAGAAATTGTAAGCAAAACTGAAGAAATGTGAATTCTGGCTACATGAGGTGGCATTCTTGGGTCATGTGATAACGAAGGAGGGTGTATCTGTGGATCCGCACAAGATTGAGGCAATTATCAATTAGCCGACTCCTACCAATGTAACTGAAGTATGTAGTTTCTTGGGGTTAGCGGGGTACTACCGGAGGTTTGTAAAAGATTTTTCTAAAATCGCTGTGTCACTTACCCAATTGATTAAGAAGGGGGTTTTGTTTGAGTGGTCAGAACAGCGGGAATCTGCCTTCCAGGAATTGAAAACAAAATTGACCACAGCACCGGTTCTAGCATTACCATCTGGTACCGAAGGATTTGTAATCTACAGTGACGCTTCTTATAAAGGACTTGGCTATGTACTTATGCAAAATGGGAGAGTTATCGCCTATGCTTCTCGACAACTCAAACCCCATGAAAAGAATTATCCCACACATGATCTTGAGCTAGCAGCAGTGGTTTTTGCTTTGAAGATATGGCGACACTATCTGTATGGGACTACTTGTGAAGTCTATACTAATCATAAGAGCCTCAAGTACCTTTTTACCCAAAAAGAGTCGAATATGCGACAGCGACGATGGTTGGAACTTATTAAGGATTATGATTTGCAGATCCATTACCATCCCGGTAAAGCCAATACAGTTGCAGATGCACTGAGCCGGAAAGGTACAGGAAATTTGGCAAATTTGCTTACGGAACAAAGAGAGTTATTGGTTGAATTGGATAAAATGAATGTAGACCTTGTGATGCATGGGCGAGAGACCATAGTAGCAGTAGTGATGGCCCAACCGACATTAATTGAAGAAATCAAACTACGTCAGATGGAAGATGAAACTTTAAAGAAGATATGTGATGAGTTAGAGAGAAAACCGAGACCGGGATTCAATTTGATGAATTCAGTACTCAAATTTCAAGGCAGATTATGTGTTCCCAATGTGTCAAAAGTTAAGCGGAAATTGATGGAAGAAACACATGCCTCGAGATTTTCACTGCATCCTGGGAGTACTAAGATGTATCGAGATTTAAAACAAAATTTTTGGTGGCCAAGTATGAAAAAGGAGATTGCGGATTTCGTCTCTAAATGTTTGCAATGTCAGCAAGTAAAGGCAGAGCATCAGAGACCGGCAAGGTTATTACAACCCCTTCCAATCCCGGAATGGAAATGGGAACATCTGACCATGGATTTTGTTGTAGGGTTACCACAGACTCCTCGGGGTATGAACTCTGTATGGGTCGTTGTAGACCGGTTAACTAAGTCTGCCCATTTCCTACATGTGAAAACTCAGTACAATGCGGACAAACTTACTATAATCTATGTGAACGAAATTGTGAGACTCCATGGTGTTCCAGTTTCAATAGTATCAGATAGAGATCCGAAGTTCGTATCTAAATTCTGGCAAAGTCTACAGGAAGCAATGGGTATAGAATTAAAGTTTAGCACAACTTTTGACGCTAAGACAGACAGACAATCCGAGAGAACGTTACAGACATTAGAGGATATGCTCCGAATGTGTGTTCTAGATTTCCAGGGAAGTTAGGAAACTCATTTACCGTTGGTAGAGTTCGTGCACAATAATAGTTACCATTCGAGTGTTGGAATGGCACCCTATGAGGCTCTATATGACAGACCATGTCGCTCCCCCGTGTGTTGGGCCGAAGTCGGAGATAGATCATTATTAGGGCCTGAACTTGTACAGTTAACGACCCAAAAGATTAAGACCATTCAGGAACGACTAAAAACCGCCCAAAGTAGACAAAAGAGTTATGAGGATAATCGACGAAGAGATTCGGAATTTGAGGCAGGTAATCATGTTTTTGTGAAAGTTACTCCGATAAAGGGACATCCCAGGTTCAGAAAAAAGAGTAAATTAACACACCGATATGTTGGTCCATTCCAAGTTCTGGAGAAAGTGGGTTCAGTGGGTTACCGAGTTGCTCTTCCACCAAGTCTGAGCCAAGTACATAATGTATTTCACGTATCTATGCTTCGAAGTTACCTTCCGGATCCGTCTCATGTCATAGATTACCACCAAATTGTATTGGATGATAAGTTAACTTATGAGGAAAAACCAATTCGAATTATGGATCAGCAAGTGAAACAACTACAGAACTGAGAGATTCCAATGGTGAAAATTGAATGGCAGGAACATTATGGAACATAAGCTACTTGGGAAAAGGAAGAGGAAATGCAACACCAATATCCAGAATTATTCCTATCATAAGGTAAAACAAGTTTGAGGGACCAAACTTATTTAAGGGGAGGGGAGTGTAATAACCCGACCCTCATGCATGTTTTCTGGTATGCTTTTAGTCCCTTACCGTGTGTATTTATATTTTTTACTGTGAAATTCCATATGGAATTAAGTTTAGTTCAGTGAATCTTATGATTATAGATTCATATCTGTTAAGTAAGAGAAATATATGTTACAATTGTGGTGTTTGGATTAGAAATTGAAAGCCTTAGAAGCTTAATAATCTGAAATTGACTTTATATTTGAGATCAGCACAATTTTTAGATCATAATATGATTTTCTGTAAAAATCTGATTCAGAATGATTAAACTGATTAAATTTTGTTTTATTTAACATTTAAATATATATCTGTCTTTACACATTTGATTTGGGAATTCTTAACTCAAAATATCTCATGAGAGAGAGAGAGTTAGAGAAGAAGAGAGTTTGACAGGAAGAAGAGAGTTCAACAAGGAGAAGATTGGGAAATTTGAGAGGGTTTGTAGAAATTTAAGCTCAAGGTATGTACTATCTACTTTTGTTAAGCCTCTCTTGACTAGTGAGTAAGAAAGCTTCTACAATATAGAAGTTAGAGTTGTGATTAAGATCAAAAGTGTGTGTGTTCCTTGCTTAATTGTAGTTGTGTTGGTGGTTTTAAGCTTTGTAGAGAGGAAATACATCTTATTCCTTTACTTTACATGTTTGAACTCATCTAAGTGTTTGGGTGATTATGTACATGTGTTTGGAAAATTGAGTATAGCTAGGAATGTAAGGAATTGGATTGTGTATATGAATTTAAGAGTATTGAAGGCTTAATTGAACTTGTGATCCATATTTATATGATGTTGAGCCATATTCTTGCATTAAATTTACCTATCTTGAGCCTTGCCATATGTTTACCAAGTGGGATTTTTGCTTGAATTCAAAATGCACAAAACAGAGGCAACAACCGCACGTGCGGGGCTCACAACTGCACGTGCGGAAAAAAGGGGAATTCGAGGTTTGGTTACTGAAATAAAAGCATGTGCGGGGGAGGATTACCGCATGTACGGCCCACCTTCCCACACGTGCGGAGGGGGACTGTCGCACGTGCGGCTCATGTGGAAAAATCCTGTCTGCTCCATTTCTCTTGTTTAACCCTCTGGGATTACTAAAATTTGTATTTGATGCTTTTAAAATGTTCGTAAATTCATTGGAAGCGAAACGAATCAGATATTGCTAAAAAAGGAAAATAGACTAATTTCTGAACTACATGTGTGTATAGGGCACATTCAGGAAGGAACTATTGCTCCGCCACAGCACTGTGAGTAATAGTACTGTAGTAGTACATTTTGCTTACTGTTAATAGTTAATATTAACGTTCTATTCTCCGTAAGTGAACTACGTTGACTCATAACGAATAAATGGAACTTATGCACATTATTGAACAATGATATCTGTGGAGATCTGAGATCATTCTGTTTTGCTAATAATGGGCCTGAGGCCATTCAGTTATAAGCCACCGAGTGTGGACAACTTTGAAAAAACGGGAAGTGAGGACATGTCAATGACTCACCAACCGTGTTCTGGTTTGAATTAAATATATTCGTGGCCTATGGCCGAGGGAGTGGCGTAAATGTCGATGTATCACTTACCCATTAATGTTCAGACATTTGCTGGTATCTGGGCCTGAGGCCGATCTGTAAAATCTATTGGGCCTAAGGCTATTCTGTATGATACTGGGCTTGAAGCCACTCTGTATGAAGATTGGACCCAAGGCCGTTCTGAAAATGTTTACAGAATAAGCTTAATCACATGACCTCTGCACTTACATACATTACAATTCAAGTTTATTCATTGAATCATTTAAGCACTATTATTCACTGAGCCTTGCTCACTCCGTGTTATGTCTGTCTCTGTAGGTAATCAACTTGGAGGTCAGTCTTAGTCCAGCTTGGACCGCTTGTCTTTTGTCCATTACACCATGACCGAACACCTAGATGAAGCTCACTCATCTTTGTGGAGTTCTTGCAGAGCTTTTAGCTTCGTACACTGAATCTTTTGTCTGGTGTTGTTATACATGATTAATTTCCCTTATCATAGTTTTGTTACATCCTCAGACTCGGGGATGGGTCTATATATTTGTCTATATATTCCTACGTATATGTTTTGTATGTTTTGTATGAGTTAAATTACCTGATATAAAGTGTAAGATCCTGGCATGTTAGTAATAGCTCAATAGATGTTGTTTTGCGTTGTTAACTGCTTCCGTTCAGGCCCCATATGTTGTACATATCAAATTTGATGTCCGTTTTTGAAGTGATCATGCCCAAACTTTTAGGGGTGGGGTTTGGGGCCTGACACGATATCAGCAATAGCTCGCTAAATCATATAATCAACGCGTGCAGTTGCGTCGTTATATACCCGGAGAATTGGTCCTCAAGAAAGTTCTTCTCGTTACTAGAAGCCCCGCTGAAGGAAAGCTATGTCCCAATTGGGACGGCCCCTATCAGGTTGAGTTGATCGCTGGCACAGGGGCATATCGGTTCAAAGACATGTCTGGAAGAAGTCTGCCATGTCCTTAGAATTCTACGCATTTGTGTAAATTTTATCATTAACCCGACTTGTGGGGCATGATAACTTGTTTTTAATGTTCGCCGTGTACAACTTCCACTTTACAATGCAAGGCCTCTTATTTCCTAGCTATGTGAAATTTAGTTCGGTAAATCAAAAGCCCCCAGATTCGGGGCGCCCTTCGTGGGTAACATGATTGGCCAAAATAAAAGCCTCCGAATTTGGAGCCCCATCCATGAATGACACGTTTGGGCCGAATAAACCTCCGGATTCGGAGTGCCCTTCGTGGATATCACGATTGGCCAAAACAAGTCTCCGTATTCGAAGCCCCATCCATGAATGACACGTTTGAGCCGAATAAGCCTCCGAATTCGGAGCACCCTTCGTGGGTAACACGATTGGCCAAAACAAATGCCTTCAAATTCGGAGCCCCATCCGTGAATGACACGTTTGGGCCGAATAAGCCTCTGGATTCGGAGCACCCATCGTGGATATCACAATTGGCCAGAACAAGTCTCCGTATTCGGAGCCCTATCCGTAAATGACACGTTTGAGCCGAATAAGCCTCCGGATTCGGAGCGCCCTTCGTGGGTAACACGATTGGCCAAAACAAAAGCCTTCGAATTCAGAGCCCCATTCGTGAATGACACGTTTGGGCCAAATAAGCCTCCGGATTCGGAGCGCTCTTCGTGGATATCACGATTGGCCAAAACAAGTCTCCGCATTCGGAACCCCATCCGTGAATGACATGTTTGGGCCGAATAAGCCTCCGGATTCGGAGCGCCCTTCGTGGGTAACACAATTGGCCAAAACAAAAGCCTCCGAATTCAAAGCCCCATCCGTGAATGACACTTTTGGGCCGAATAAGCCTCCGGATTCAGAGCGCCCTTCGTGGATATCATGATTGGCCAAAACAAGTCTCCGTATTCAAAGCCTCATCTGTGAATGACACGTTTGGGTTGAATAAGCCTCTGGATTCGGAGCGCCCTTAGTGAATGACACACTTGGCCAAAATAAAAGCCTTCAAATTTGAAGCCCCTTTCATGTATGTCATGGTTGGGCCGAATAAACACCTGGAATCGGAGCGCTTCGTCGACATCACAGTTGGCCGCCGCAAACGCGATTGACAGTAATTGATGGTCATGACTTAATTTATGAACAATAATTGAAATCATATACAGATATTCAAAATAAGATGTTTCATTCAATAGATCGTAAATACATGATTTGCATCAAATTTGTAATAGGTCATGGATACATTTGATCTGTTTTATTCAATACATGTGTTAAAAAAATAAAAAAAATAAAAATTGAAGAGAAATATATCATTTGGCATCATCTTCGTCGTCAGTCTTCTCGGCTTCAAAAGCCGCAAAGGCCAAATTATAACTCTGATATAGAGGCGACGCCGAATCAATGCCCACTGCCTGTAGAGCCTTGGTCCACCTATTCTTGAATCCACGATTGTCGTATCGGCAGACCTTCTCGGCTAGCTTTTCCTTTGTCTTCTCTATACCAATCTTCCAACTGTCAAAAAATCTCTCATTAACGCTTCTTTAGCGAACATGCTCGCCGTATCTCGGTCGGCAATGGCCTGGTTTAACAGTCGTTTGGTCACCCTTTCCTCTACAATCGTGTTACCTTGACCTGCGGAATGATTTCTGGCAACTTTTGCCTGTTTTAGTTCTCGCTGAGCTTTCTCTACGCGCGCTTCTAAGTTCCGAATGCGCTCATCTTTTTGCTCTATCTTCCACCTCGCGGCACGGAGACGCATGCCGATTTCATATAAAGTATATTGCACTTTTCGCGCTCCATGGACGCCCTCCCAAAAAACTTCGAAATCAGGCCGCCCAACCATCGACTGCTGGACTTCCGGCGAAAAAATCTGTCGAGTGAATTCAATTGCCACGTTTGGATCGCGGATGATCGAATCCGCCTTCGTCGTCGATTTGTTCTCCACAAAGACTGAAAAAACTCAACGAGCATGGTGGCCCACTGGTCTCACTTCGCGAGTGAGGGGAGTTCCCCCGCTGTTGCCTTTCCTTCCTAGGTGACCTGCTTCGACGACGCGAAGAATGGCGCCTCTCGTGCTCCCTCGACGTCCTACTTCCTGTTCGCAACAGTTTGCTACCTCGATTCATCGCTGAATCCAGCTCAGCCAGTGTCCTACCCTCTCCTCTACTGTTGAAGAATAGTCTTCTAGACATCTAGTTCAAACGCACTATTTTTTCTCTCTCATGTGATATGCCAAATTTGGACACCAACATAGACCCTAAACGCACGCAACCCCCACCCCTCTTATTAATCGCGGGTGCAGTGTTCCCAAAGCA